TGCGATACTCGATTCTGATTGGCTGAGAGCTCATCAATACCGTACTTAAATGGCAGTTTAAGGACCGCTAATTAAAGTGACCGATTGACGGCGTATGAATACAATGAACTCGTTGACCCTTTTGTTTGTAAACAAACATGTCAGACATCGGTGATAACTACCTCGGCAATATCTTTGATGTTGTGGAAGTCAAAATGAGTTGAAGATGAATTTCTTGTGCCTAATCCCCCTGAAAAATTCGACAGTATTCCGCCATACTTTAAACCAGGTCTACAAATAGCGGGCATGACGTCGACAATACACGTCCTAATCTGTCTGCTTCCGTCCCGGCCGTAAGGCCCGGTCCTTTCACTTCCACTCTCTATATTTCCCACATAAAAGTTGGCATGCCAGGTCTTTTCCAAAATTGGGAATAGTATCGTGGTTATCATGTAGTAGCATGGGATTTGGGGTTCTCCCAAAGATAGGAAGTCGTCATTGTACACCTTCAGTAAAGCAGTTTCTGTCGAAGTGGATTTATCACTTAATGTGATATTACAATTACAAATTACAAACAACACACTCTCATAACAAATATAAAATTATAAATATGAAATATTCCAAGGGTACAACATTAGCAATAATGAACTATATACATAGTAACGAAAATGTAATTTTGATTTCATATTTCAGATCTCCATGTATCACTTGTTGTACTCATGTGCAGCTTGTGAAGTATTATTATATACTTATACACATACTTTCATTCATTTGCAACCTCCAAAACATTAGTTCTGAGCGAAGCTTAACAATGTCGCCCAGAGGCCTACCCATGGTAGTTAAATATTAAGTTTTCGAAAAGAAATACTTCATTTTTTCATTCTTAGCATGTTGAATTTTGTCAAATCCTTTGTCCGAAAGTGGCGGTAATTATTAAGTATGAGGTTTGGAATCTGAGAGTATAATCCTGTGAAGAAATGGGTGGTGATGTTATATTTTGAAATTAATTTTTTTTCAAAACAATGCGAGGTAAGTACGTTGCCAATCTTTGATATAGGCAGACTGGTCATTTTCTCTTTCTTGCGCAATCCTATTTGCGCTACAGTTTGCCTGTGATCGAACCGAACGACAAAAGCGACTGTCGACCGTGACGAATGAGTTTTCACTCACAATTACCAGAAGCTACTTTTCACATTGTTTTTTTCACATTTACATAACACACCATTTCAACCGCTCAACAGATTATTGATATATGGACATCGTTAGGTTATGTAATTTTACGTGCAGCATGTTCAATACAACTTTGTCCGTTGTCAGTAGCGAATATCCATGGGGAGGGCGTTTTGACTTTTGGCCTAATTCATTAAATATGCATAAAAGCTATTCTTGGAATCAATATTGCTTACTCACTGGGTAATTCTGGTTCATGGAGCCCAGGTATAAAACGTGACTGTGACTCACTCTTGTATTCAAGCGTTTTTATGTAATTGATGAACATTAATCCGAAAGTATTTGTACATATATGCAAATGTATAATTATTACTTAGATATGTTAAAAGCTGCAAATATCCACCGCCTGCTTCGAAGTTGGACCTAGAAGGTAATCACTTAACTCCTAATTTTTATAGATATATGTCTGTCTTGGTATCACTCGCAGTGAGTCTGAAATATTAAACACATCTATAAACAGAAACAAAAGATTTAATATAAAATATCATGGGCTACATGGCCAAGAGAACATAAAATCAATGCTTTGTGCAGAAAGGCCAGGTGGAACAAATGTTCTTATCTGAATATAATATTTTTATATGTTAATCGGGAAATTTGATTTTCAACATTTTAACAATCTTCACATTTCTTATGCGAATGAACTAAAAGTTCTGTTTACGTTTGTTAGCGAGAGAGATATATGTAATAGTACCTGGGTTTCAACACTTTTCTACTCTTTTATTTAGGAAATGGACAAATTAAGAGGAAATGGTACTCATCTTCAGTTGTATTATGACGATATTTATTACAATTACGTAAACCAGTATTATTTTTGTCATTGTAATGAAACTGCTTATTTAATACTTTTTGGCTCAGACATCGGCATTTGCAAAATATTCGTGATAAGGCTTTTGTGTGGGCATAACACCATACTGTATTTCTCTGGCTCAAGTAGCCACTTTTATGTTGAATAATGCTTTAGAAACTGTGACCAACTATATTTAGCGTGCCAATATTGAATCTCTTTGCATTAAGCACTGCATAACAATGGATATTTTGCTGCAAGCACGTGCGGCCCAAACATATGTAGATTAATTGTCACGAACATGAAATATGTTTTTTTTAATATTAGCACGATAAGTGTAACACAATATGTATAGATAATCCATATGACAGTATGGAAGCTGTTTTACAGTTAAATACAGTACATTTAGAGAAATATTTGGATAATCCCCCAGCAAAGCAAAAATAGGAAAAGAAGCCTATCGAGCTTGTAGTGCTAATGTTTCATATGCTTTTGATCTAAGTAATCTACATGTGAAGACAATTCTTATAACACTGACTTTTCCAGGTTTACTGCTAAGCTCTATTCATAATAATAGCATTTCCATGTGTCAGGTTTTTGTATGCCTACCACAGTCTTCACATCTTCTACAAGTAAGAGCAGCACGATGCCTCTTAATCCATCCTGACAACAACGCCTCTCAGTCCACTTTCTTCATTTCCCGTATACCTGCTCATTTATGAAAACTATATATAAATACAGGTCTTAATATACCTCCTCCACGTACTCCAGATGACGGCGTGGACATTTCAGTTTTCAATCATCCAGTTCTTACATCAGCTGATACGTGGTGATATCTTCAAAATACGAAACATTTTCACCATGTAAACCTTTGAAAACAAGTACCCGCAATAGTTTATTTATATCAACAAAGCAAAGCCCACGACAATTTATGAAAGCCGCCTAAAATGTGTGTTTGGATTTTCTCAAATACTTCTGACATAACGAGTGAAAGACACATGCATTATCAATTGTTGAACTTAACCTCTCCAAATGCCACATAATTGTGTTTGGGTCCAAAGCTGGTTACTCCTCAACCCTCCAGTGGCGCCTAACAGGCGATATTGTCTCCACAACTGCCTCTACCAAACACTTGGGAGTACAATTGAACAAAAGCCTTTAACATGAAGATGCTGTAAAGGAAGCTTAGTAGAAAGCCAAGTCGTGTTTTCATGCTCTAATGAAGACTGGCTTAAAACCCAAAGGTGTTACTCCACTCATATCCGCAGATACTCGTCGGTAAAACAGTTCTACCCTGTATGCTGTATGGCTATGAACTGTGGAGACAGCTCTCGGCATGATATAACGGCAGCTCTCCACAACATGGCACTATATGGCAAAATGTATACATGGCTTCCAACTAAGGACAAGAACAGATATGTGTCTCAGTATGATCAACTGGATGCCTATTACAGAAGAGATCTCAAAGCGTCATTTGTGTTTTTTCACAGACTGTGTTCACTCTTCCCTGAGAACCTATCAAAGAAGCTCCTACACAGAAGACTCTATCAATATCTTCATAACAGTAACAATCAACAGATAGGCTTCTAGCCTCACATAATCAATGTACTACAGAAGTACAACTTGCTGGACACTCAGAATCGTTACTTGACTATCAACGTTCTACAAAGCAAATACGAGTTGAAGAGACTAATTACCCACAGAATCGCTACCTGACTCTGATTGCAGTCACCTATTCTATGACCTAAGTGCATCATTTGTAATGAAAATCATGGCCACCTACCAAAGAGAGCCTTCAATTCACAATTTTGAACAGTGAGAGAGAGTGAGAGAGAGAGAGAGTTTTATTCAGTAAAGGGGCCAAAGGCCCATTATACATCAGGTGTACAGAATATACAATCATTAGAGCACCGTACAACATCATGAGAGCTACAGAATTATACATTTGTGGGTATGAAGACTGAAATAAATTTATTTCGTTTTTTCATGGCAAAAAATAGATATTTTGCAAGACAATTTATAATATAAGTATTCTTTGATGTAAACAACTGAGCTAATTTCACTTCAGATGGATATATGTGATAATATTTAGGGAGGATATCATTTCTTAATTTCCCATAAAAAGGGCATTCCAGGCAAAAGTGATATTCATTTTTTATGTTAGGTATGATACAAAACGGGCACAGGCGATCCTCCCTTTTAAGACCTAAATGTCTACCGTACTCTATCATCAAATTGTGGTTTGAGCAACGAAATCTACTTAAGAAGATTCAAAACCTTTTTACAGTAACACTATCGATATAGAACTCAAAAGCTACACCTTCTTTGAGCCTGCGATAAAAATCCAATTTCGAAACAAGTATAATACGAGATGACCACAACTGGTTATCTATTTCAATACATCTTTGCTTAAATAATGATATGAAAATAGAGATATTTCCAACACTTTGACTGGCCCACACATTGCCAAAACCATAACTGTACAAAAGAGATTTCACCTTAAAAGCCCAACAATCTATACCTTTTTCAGCAAGACAATACTGTTACTAATAAACCTTATTTAAGATTTCATTCTCAACTTGAGACAGGAGGCGAACCCAATATTTAACAATCTTAATGTACTGATTTACCTTTAATGAAGAACGACCAATCTCAGCACGCGCTGCAATATTTGGCGTGTATCTTGAAAGACCCAAAACCTGTTTACAGAACCTATCGTGTACATTCAATACAAATGGCGACGGGTGGAAACCCCAGACTTCACTTCCGTATAGTAACAATGGCAAAACCTTGACATCAAATATATGGAGCAGAACATTAATTGGTAGATTATAAAAATTCTTAACCGATGATTTGAAAATATTCAACACCTTCCATGCTTGGTCAGCCAAAGTTTTCTGTGTAACATACAATGATCCAGAGGAAGACAAGTGACCACCCAAGTATTTATATGATGCAACAATTTCAAGCAACTGTCCATTCAAATGGAACTTTTTGTATTGTCTTAGTCGACAAGCCTTCCTGAATACAATAACTTTACTTTTATCAATATTGTTTTTCAATTTCCACTTGTTACAATACGAAACTAGCTTGTCTAGCCCCTTTTGCAGACCTATAACTGTAAAGTCAAAAAGCGCAATATCATCAGCAAACAATAGGATGAACAGCTCAACTAAGTCTAGATTGATACCCCTCTGACCATCAGCAGATAGACATTCAACAATGTCGTTGACAAAGAAGGAAAAGAGAAAGGGAGACAACTGGCATCCCTGACGAACTCCTGATAAACAATCAAAAAACGGTGTGTAACCATCTCTCATCGACACACAAGCTTTAACATCTTGGTACATATTTTTCAATAGCCTGTAGGTATTACCTTTCACATTGCCAGGCCACAGGTTGTAAAGGAGACCACACCTATCGACTGAGTCTAAAGCGGCCTTCAAGTCAATAAATGCACAGTAGAGGCGACCTTTGTAAAGTGAAAGATATTTATCAATTATAGCATTAAGAATGAATATATTATCATGTGTTTGGAAACCATACCTGAACCCAGCTTGCTCGTCAACGAAGAATTCTTCCCTTTCAGCCCAAGAGTTTAACCTGTTGTTGATAATTTTACAAAATATTTTACCAGTTACTTCAAGCAGTGTAATAGGTATATAATTCCCAGGGCAATCAGTTGTACCTTTGTTATATAAAGGAATTATAACTCCATACGTCCACTGAGATGGATTAATACCTGTAGACAAAATGCTATTAAAAAGAGATTTCAATAAATCAATACAATGATCAGGTGCATATTTAAAAAATTCAATTGGAATGCCACTGAGTCCTGGTGCTTTTCCATTATGCATTTCTTGAATAGCATTAACTATTTCTAGGTAGGATATTTCTCTATCCAAATAGTCATTGTCCACAGATGAATCAATAAGTCTATCACTGATTGAATCAACAAAATGTTTGATAAAAATATAGAAGTGTTCTTCATCGGCTGACTAATAGGAAGACTGAAAAACATTCTTGAAATGATTCATCCAGTCAAATGGTGTAATATTATTGTTTACAAATGATGATTTCGATTTCACAGTTCTCCAGAATAATTTACTGTCTTTAGTAGAGAGTGCGTTACTAAGTTTATGTGTGTAATCTGAAAATGATGAAGACTGTTTCGCAGCACACAACTGTTTATAGTGTGACACAGACTCGACATAACGTTGTCTATCAGATTTACAGCTACTTGCTTGAAATGCACGCAGAAGGCGCCGAGCGGTATCACGTGCACTCTTGCATTCACCGTCGTACCAGCTGTCTCACTTTGGAACATTATTTGTCGACAATACACTAGATTTACAGAAACTGGCACATGATTTCATAACCCCGTATTAAAAAGTGACAATGCCTCTTGAACATCACCTTTATCAATAAAGGAATGGAATAATGGATTATGTATACATATTGTGTTACACTTATCGTGCTAATATTAAAAAAAACATATTTCATGTTCGTGAAAATTAATCTACATATGTTTGGGCCGCACGTGCTTGCAGCAAAATATCCATTGTTATGCAGTGCTTAATGCAAAGAGATTCAGAATTGGCACGCTAAATATAATTGGTCACAGTTTCTAAAGCATTATTCAACATAAAATAGCTACTTGAGCCACAGAAATACATTATGGTGTTATGCCCAAACAAAAGCCTTATCACGAATGTTTTGCAAATGCCAATGTCTGAGCCCAAAAGTATGAAAAAAGCAGTTTCATTACAATGACAAAAATAATACTGGTTTACGTAATTGTAATAAATATCGTCATAATACAACTGAAGATGAGTACCATTTCCTCTTAATTTGTCCATTTCCTAAATAAAGTAGAAAAGTGTGAAACCCCACGTACATATATCTCTCGCTAACAAACGTAAACAGAACTTTAGTTCATTCGCATAAGAAATCTGAAGATTGTTAAAATGTTGAGAATCAAATTTCCCGATTAACATATTATATATATTATATTCAGATAAGAACATTTGTCCCACCTGGCCTTCTGCACAAGCGTGATTTTATGTTCCCTTGGCCATGTAGCCCATGATATTTTATACTAAATCTTTTGTTTCTGTTTATAGATGTGTTTAATATTTCCGACTCACTGCGAGTGATACCAAGACAGACATATATCTATAAAAAATAGGAGTTCGTGATTACCTTCTAGGTCCAACTTCGAAGCAGGCGGTGGATACTTGCAGTTTTTAATATATCTAAGTAATAGATTACACATCGGGTGGTAATACATCCCAGTTGTGCTGATATTCTAGTAAACAGTTATTGTTCCATCGATATCTAGTTTTAGATGAAAGATTGTAGAAACGTTCATTATTAATCAGTGTCAATGAAAACGAAAATGTTATTGGCTGATGAGTCGACTCAACTTCATCGGACACTTTAAAATCATCAAAAAGTTCAAAAGCATTGTCCAAACAAAGCACATAGTCAACAACCCTTTGTCCATTATTGGCAAAACATGTTATGTTACCTTTACCTTTATCATGAAATAGACGGCCGTTACATATTCTCAGGTCCAATGTTTTGCAGAAGTTCAATAGGGCATAACCACGTTTGTTGATCACAGTGTCACGTGATGCATGTGGTTCGATGGCGTCGTCGGTTATATAATCTATGTCATCATCAATCTGGAGATACCTCGGGTCATCATTAATAATATAATCTTTGTAACATCCATTCCTAGTGCGTGCATTCAAATCAACTTAAATTATAATTCTACAATCAGGTTCATTTGATCTGAATTTGTTTACATCATCTTCCAAAAGAGTAAAAATAGGTTCATCAGCATGTGCACTGGAACTTGCAGGAGAATAGTAAACAACACCTATAAATATGGAAAAGTGATCAGCTGGTACACGCACACGTAACCATAGTATGTTGTTACTTTCCGTCGAGATTAATGACACAAATTCTGAGACAGTGTCGGCGATTAATACAGTTATTCCACCCAAATTTCTAAAGGCGTTGGCATGTTTTTGTCTACACTTCCGAAACACTGTATATCCTTGAAACAAAAACTCCTCACTTTCATCTGACCACGTCTCCACGAGAGATATAAAGCTGAATTTTTTCAGAAAGTTGATATGTTCCCGGCAAATTTTCTTCTTTAGACCTTCTACATTCCACAGAACATTATGAACAGTAAGAGGCATTATGCAGATGCCACAAACATAGGTGTGCTTGAGGCGAGATAGCAAAATGCAATGGTCCACAGAGTCAAAAGCCGCAGACAGATCCAGCAGCACCAGCAAAACAACTTCATGTTTGTCCAAATATAGGAGGACGTCATTGTACACCTTCAGTAAAGCAGTTTCTGTCGAATGGGATTTATCACTTAATCAATGTAATATTACAATTACAAATTACAAACAACACACTCTCATAACAAATATAAAATTATAAATATGAAATATTCCAAGGGTACAACATTAGCAATAATGAACTATATACATAGTAACGAAAATGTAAGTTTGATTTCATATTTCAGATCTCCATGTATCACTTGTTGTACTCATGTGCAGCTTGTGAAGTATTATTATATACTTATACACATACTTTCATTCATTTGCAACCTCCAAAACATTAGTTCTGAGCGAAGCTTAACAATGTCGCCCAGAGGCCTACCCATGGTAGTTAAATTTTAAGTTTTCGAAAAGAAATTATTCATTTTTTCATTCTTAGCATGTTTTCAAACCAATGCGAGGTAAGTACGTTGCCAATCTTTGATATAGGCAGACTGGTCATTTTCTCTTTCTTGCGCAATCCTATTTGCGCTACAGTTTGCCTGTGATCGAACCGAACGACAAAAGCAACTGTCGACCGTGACGAATGAGTTTTCACTCACAATTACCAGAAGCTACTTTTCACATTGTTTTTCACATTTACATAACACACCATTTCAACCGCTCAACAGATTATTGATATGGACATTTGCGCAGAGATTATAATTATCAAAGGTTATGTAATTTTACGTGCAGCATGTTCAATACAACTTTGTCCGTTGTCTGTATGAATATCCATGGAAAGGGCGTTTTATTTTTTGCCTAATTCATTAAATATGCATAAAAGCTGTTCTTGGAATCAATATTGCTTACTCACTGGGTAATTCTGGTTCGTGGAGCCCAGGTATAAAACGTGACTGTGACTCACTCATCTTATGTAATTGATGAACATTAATCCGGAAGTATTTGTACATATATGCAAATGTATAATTATTACTTAGATATGTTAAAACTGCAAATATCCACCGCCTGCTTCGAAGTTGGGCCTAGAAGGTAATCACGAACTCCTATTTTTTTATAAATATATGTCTGTCTTGGTATCACTCGCAGTAAGTATGAAATATTAAACACATCTATAAACAGAAACAAAAGATTTAATATAAAATATCATGGGCTACATGGCCAAGAGAACATAAAATCACGCTTGTGCAGAAGGCCAGGTGGAACAAATGTTCTTATCTGAATATAATATATATAATATGTTAATCGGGAAATTTGATTTTCAACATTTTAACAATCTTCAGATTTCTTATGCGAATGAACTAAAGTTCTGTTTACGTTTGTTAGCGAGAGATATATGTAATAGTACCTGGGGTTTCACACTTTTCTACTTTATTTAGGAAATGGACAAATTAAGAGGAAATGGTACTCATCTTCAGTTGTATTATGACGATATTTATTACAATTACGTAAACCAGTATTATTTTTGTCATTGTAATGAAACTACTTATTCAATACTTTTTGGCTCAGACATCGGCATATGCAAAATATTCGTGATAAAGCTTTTGTTTGGGCATAACACCATAATGTATTTCTGTGGCTCAAGTAGCTATTTTATATTGAATAATGCTTTAGAAACTGTGACCAACTATATTTAGCGTGCCAATATTGAATCTCTTTGCATTAAGCACTGCATAACAATGGATATTTTGCTGCAAGCACGTGCGGCCCAAACATATGTAGATTAATTGTCACGAACATGAAATATGTTTTTTTTAATATTAGCACGATAAGTGTAACACAATATGTATACATAATCCATATGACAGTATGGAAGCTGTTTTACAGTTAAATACAGTACATTTAGAGAAATATTTGGATAATCCCCCAGCAAAGCAAAAATAGGAAAAGAAGCCTATCGAGCTTGTAGTGCTAATGTTTCATATGCTTTTGATCTAAGTAATCGACATGTGGAGACAATTCTTATAACACTGACTTTTGCAGGTTTACTGCTAAGCTCTATTCATAATAATAGCATTTCCATGTGTCAGGTTTTTGTATGCCTACCACAGTCTTCACATCTTCTACAAGTAAGAGCAGCACGATGCCTCTTACTCCATCCTTGACAACAACGCCTCTCAGTCCACTTTCTTCATTTCGTATACCTGCTCATTTATGAAAACTATATATTACACAGGTCTTAATATACCTCCTCCCCGTACTCCAGATGACGGCGTGGACATTTCAGTTTTCAATCATCCAGTTCTTACACAAGCTGATACGTGGTGATATCTTTCAAAATACGAAACATTTCACCATGTAAACCTTTGAAAACAAGGTCACGCAATAGTTTATTTATATCAACAAAGCAAAAGCCTTACGACAATTTATGAAAGCTGCATAAAATGTGTGTTTGGATTTTCTCAAATACTTCTCACATAACGAGTGAAAGACACGTGCATTATCAATTGTTGAACTTAACCTCTCCAAATGCCACATAATTGTGTTTGGGTCCAAAGCTGGTTACTCCTCAACCTTCAGTGGCGCCTAACAGGCGATATTGTCTCCACAACTGCCTCTACCAAACACTTGGAGGTATAATTGAACAAAAGCCTTTAACATGAAGATGCTGTAAAGGAAGCTTGTAGAAAAGCCAAGTCGTGTTTTCATGCTCTAATGAAGACTGGCTTAAAACCCAAAGGTGTTACTCCACTCATATCCGCAGATACTGTCGGTAAAACAGTTCTACCCTGTATGCTGTATGGCTGCGAACTGTGGAGACAGCTCTCTCGGCATGATATACGGCAACTCTCCACAACATGGCACTATATGGCAAAATGTATACATGGCTTCCAACTAAGGACAAGAACAGATATGTGTCTCAGTATGATCAACTGGATGCCTATTACAGAAGAGATCTCAAAGCGTCATTTGTGTTTTTTCACAGACTGTGTTCACTCTTCCCTGAGAACCTATCAAAGAAGCTCCTACACAGAAGACTCTATCAATATCTTCATAACAGTAACAATCAACAGATAGGCTTCTAGCCTCACATAATCAATGTACTACAGAAGTACAACTTGCTGGACACTCTGAATCGGTACTTGACTATGAAGGTTCTACAAAGCAAATACGAGTGGAAGAGACTAATTACCCACAGAATCGCTACCCAATACAATGCTGAATGGACAGAACGCACACGCAATCACCAAGACTTTGCACGATTCAGAATGCTACATGATGTTCCAGGACCAGCATCAGTTTAGATCCGAGCCAGAAACAGAGTACATCCAACAATATACTCACTTGGCTTCAGTGTGGGTAGCAGTTGAGACACTATGTGACCTGTACAACACTGTGTACACTGACCTACTGAGACACGTGATGTTATCATGTGACCATCTGAAGGACCATTTTGACAAAAATCATGGCCACCTACCAAAGAGAGCTTTCAATTCACAATTATGAACAGTGAGAGGCATCATGCAGACGCCACAAACATATGAACTATACTTTATCCATGATATCATACATGTTCCCCTATGTTTTGCAATTCCTAATCAAACCCACTCTTTAATTACTAACATCACTTTCTAAAATGTCCATCTACTGTTCAAATTTGTAAATATCCTCACAATAATCTCCTAGTGGAGGAAATAAAGATGATGATGGTGTATTTACGTTGCTGGGGCTACATGACATAGAATACACAAAATAGATTTAATCTATATATCATTTTGTATATTTTCGACATATCCTAAAACATCAAATTGTTTCAAAATCTCCAGAACATGCTGCCTTGCAGCAATCGGAATACTTGGATATTCCATACACACTAACTAAGAGTGAACAATAAAGATGGTGCCATGTCTCGTACACCTGAACATGCATCGGGTTAGAACCATCCTGACCTTTAATCTGGTAGGCAGCTACAGCATTTCATGTCAAATTCGCTGGAGTATAACACCCCCTTATCCCTGGTCTTTGCAGCTTGGAGACCCGCTGCAGTATAAGATCGTCCTTGTTGACACTCCACGGTGGGTGGGGAGAGGGGATGCTGAACCACATTACTAACGACATGGCTTCTCAATACCCCGGTTCAAAACGAAGACATATGGATGATGACAACTCCTCGTCTGACGAGAGTACGCCCCTCCGACCTGACTACTGGCCACGTTTCCTGATCATTGAGGCTTGTGACAAGCAACCTTTGCAATTGAATCCTTTTGCAATCTCCAAAGGTATCGCTGGTATCTGCGGAGAGGTTGCCAATGTTACAAAGCTCCGATCTGGCTCTCTCCTGATAGAATGTACCCGGAAACACCAATCCTTGAATCTCCTCAAAATAAAAGAATTTGTCAATATCAAGGTCGCTGTCTCAGCACACAAAACCCTTAACTCGTGTAGAGGCATTGTACGGGACAGAGCTCGATGCCTGTCTGACATGACTGAAGAACAAATTGTCAAGGAACTCTCTCAGCAATCCGTCACAGCCGTCAAACGATTCACCTTCAAAAAGGATGGTGTTGTTCAACCAACGAACACCTATCTCTTCACATTCGCGCGAGCAAACATCCCTGACTCGATTAAAGCTGGTTATTGTAGCATTGGTGTGGAGGTGTATGTCCCCAATCCACTCCGGTGCTACAACTGCCAAAAGTTTGGACATGGATCCAAGTCCTGTCGTTCCTCTGCTGTTTGTTACCGCTGTGGTGACAAGCATGAGGGCAACGCCTGTACTAAGGAAGTGAAGTGCACAAACTGCGGTGGTAACCATATGGCCTCTTCCAAGTTCTGTCCAGTGTGGAAACGCGAATCCGAGATACTAAAGATCAAGCACAAAGAAAATATCTCCTTTCACGAAGCAAAAAAGAGGGTTGCAAGTTTAACTGCAGCCCATTCAACCATCACCTACTCTTCTGCTGTCTCCCGTCCTACTATCACTACTGCAACCATCTCATGTCAGACCGACCTGACAAGGATCACGTCTTCTCAACCAACTGAACTCAACACAACTGAGCCCATCTCAGCAACTCCACCTCCAACGCCCAAAGTCAAAACCTCTGAATCACAAACACCAGAGCAAATGCCAAAACCAGAGACAGGAACTGTGCGCAGAAAAAGGGAAAAAAAAAGAGGCTAGAGAGACTAAAGCAACTCGAGCAACCGCCAAACACAAAACCAAAGACCACCTCTCCCTCAGAGGTCCCCTATCGAGGTCCATAACTCCTTTGGCCTCTCTGGATATGGAGGTAACTCCATCTCCACCAGACACCAATAGGAGTTCATCAAACGCTTTCTCACGTTCACGTGACATGTCACCAGTGGAAGCACCATGAATCCACAAAACATGATCCAATGGAATTGCAGAGGACTTAAGAATAATTATAATGAATTACAGTTATTGATTCAAGACTTCAAACCATCTGCGTTTTGTCTCCAAGAAACCTACCTAAAAAGGACTGATAAATTTGACATCCGTCGGTACAGTTCCTACCACTCCTTTTCTCCTCCCGGTGTAAAAGCTACAGGAGGCACTTCTATCCTGGTGAGGCAGGGCATCCTCCATAGCCCTGTTCCACTTAACACCAACCTACAAACTGTTGCTGTCCGCATAACTCTGAACATAGGGTTTACACTATGTTCCCTCTATCTCCCTCCCACCTCAACTGTCCGCCTATCAGATCTTCAGAACTTATACGATCAACTCCCAAAGCCCTGCATAATCATGGGCGACTTCAACGGCCATAACCCCCTATGGGGGAGTAATGATACAAATAGTAAGGGAAAGATCCTTGAAGAGTTTCTCTCCAATAATGATGTATGCATCTTCAACGATGGATCAAACACCTACCTCCATCCTGCCACTGGATCATATTCTGCTCTCGATCTATCACTTACAGATTCAAATCTTTTAAATGAGTTTGAATGGTCGGTCCATGACGACCTTTGTGGAAGCGACCACTTCCCAACAATTCTTACTCCTATCAACCCCACGGATGAACCACCATCAACAAGATGGAATTTTACTAAGGCCAATTGGCCTTTATTCCAAACCCTATGTTCAGAAAAACTTAAGCCGGACAACTTCAGGAATGTTCCTGACTCCATGGAGCTATTTTCAGACGTCCTAAATGCCATCGGAGACAAAACTATTCCTAAGTCCTCTGCAAACCTGCACATACGCAAACCATGGTTTGATACAAACTGCAAACAAGCTAGGAAAAATAGGAAGAAGGCGGAAAATATTTCCGACATCATCCTACAGTGCATAACTTGAATGCTGTTAAATGACAAATGCCAGGGCAAAACGTACCTTCAAACAAACTAAACGCCACTCATGGAGGAAATATGTGTCCAAAATCAACTCCCGCACACCCATGTCCAAGGTGTGGAACATGATTCAAAAGATCAAGGGCAAGGGTCAAAATCAGGAGTTCACCACCTGAAAGATGGTGACTCCTTCTAACAAATAAATCTGAAATTGCAAACAAACTTGGCGAAACTTTGGCAAACCACTCCTCCTCATCAAATTATAACCCTCAGTTCCAGAAATATCAAACCCAACAAGAAAAGAAACCAGTCAATTTTAACTCTGATAATGGGGAGGATTACAACGAAACGTTTTCCTCCATGAATTACGTACTGCCCTAGGACAGGCTCACGACACTGCGGCAGGAGCTGATGAAATCCATTATCAGCTTCTGAAACACCTCCCTGACATAGGCTTGGAAACACTCCTAAATATATTTGATGACATCTGACATCCGACACTTCCCCTTCGTGGCACAATGCCATCATCATCCCTATACCAAAACCCGGTCGCGACCATACTGATCCCTCAAACTACCGTCCTATATCACTAACTAGCTGCGTTTGCAAAACCATGGAGCGCATGGTCAACAATCGATTAATCTGGTACTTGGAGACCAATAACCTCCTCAGTGACCTCCAATGTGGTTTCCGAAAACCGAAGTACCATTGACCATCTGGTGCGTCTGGAATCGTTCATCAAAACTCCATTGTCAACAAACAACATGCAGTATCTATCTTTTCGACTTAGAAAAGCATATGATACAACATGGAAACATGGTATACTAAAAGATTTACACGAATTTGGATTGAGGGGTAGACTACCTCAATTCATATCTCGGTTTCTAAATAACAGACAATTCCAAGTTCGGGTGGGTTCCACACTGTCTGACTACTTCCACCAAGATCAGGGCGTCCCCCAAGGCAGCATCCTGTCTGTCACACTTTTTAGCATCAAAATTAACAGCCTCACTAACGTTCTGAACAGTTGCGTTGATGGGTCGCTTTTCGTCGATGACTTCAATATTTCATGTCGTGGTAAGAACATGCACACAATAGAAAGGCAGCTACAACTCTGCCTTTAACAAAATCCAAAATGGGCCAATGAAAATGGTTTTAGGTTTTCAAAATCCAAAACAAATTGTATTCACTTTTGTCGTAAATACAAACCACACAAGGATCCAGACCTAACTTTAGATGGTACTCCCATCAAAGTAGTAGAAGAGGCCAAATTCCTTGACTCATATTCGACCGCCACCTGACATTCTTACCACACATAAAATATTTGAAAACAAAGTGCTTGAAGGCTTTAGACTTGCTAAAAGTAGTTTCAAATACAGAGTGGGAGGGGATCAGACCACGCCCTTCACTTGTACAGATCATTAGTCCGCAGTAAACTAGATTATGGCTCCATTGTCTACGGTGGAGCCTGCAAAAGCAATTTAGAAAAAAATTAGACTCTATCCACCACCAAGGACTGAGGCTCTGCCTGGGAGCTTTTAGGACCTCTCCGGTAGACAGTCTATATGCAGAGGCCAACGAACCTTCCCTTGAACAACGCCGCATCAAACTCTCACTGCAGTATATCACCAAATTACGTTCAAATGAGCCCAATCCAGCATACAATTGTGTTTTCAACCCGCTCTATGAAAACTTATTTCCTAAACTGCCAAGCCTGGTTCCACCACTTGGAATCAGGATCAAACCACACATATCTGCAGCTAAAATTGATCTCGACA